CAATAAAAACAAGAGTATTTTAGGTGAAATAAGAAATGTTATTGAGCTCGAGGTTTATCTGATGGGAACTCTCAGTGTCTCCTCTCGCAGCTTCAGTGCCACAGTTTGAGGATGTTCGTGCACTTCCGGAACTTTCGTAATGGGGACCAGCGGGGAGCAGCAGGAGCGACCCTCCTCTTGATGAATGAGCGGCCGGAGTCTGCTCCTCGTCCGCCCCTCACTCCTCCAACAAGCCGCTGCTCGGTGCCTGGAGGAACCTGCAGCAAACACAAGGTGAGAGACGCGTCGGTTCGCTCGCACGTGTTTTCTCCTTCTTTGCATCTTTGTGTTTTGTGTTGTGTGTGTGTGTGTGTGCGGAGCGACAACCAGGCTCCAGACAATAGAGGAGCACGCTGCACCTCCGCTTCCACCCGGCCGCAGTGCTGCCGCCTCCTTCCGTGTTATGAAACCAGCAACCACGCTGCTGCACCCCCACCCTCCCCCTCCCTTATTGAAATCATTATTATCACTGTCTCATTTGTTTATTTATTAAAATCCCTCGCACCAGCTCGGAACAAGTCGCGACCACGACACCGGCGAGTTGACAGATGTGCCGGTGGAGCAGCTGAGAGGAGCGGACCCTCATCTGTGCGGCGTTACCTAACTGCCATTTAGGCTGGGGGGGGGGAAACTACAGAAAGAAGTGAGCTTATATAAAGAGTTATGTAAATGTACAGCTTCACTCCTCAGCAGTGGTGATCTGTGTGTGTGGCTCTGGAGTTGATTCAGAATGAATGAGGGGTTTTCTCTGTGAGGTTAAAGAGCACACGGTCAGGCTCACAGTTGTGTCTCAACCAGGCCACTGAGCTGCAGGGATGTGCAGCACTGCTGGTAAGAGCTGTCATCATAAAGGTTTGGGGTCATGTGATCATCGCCCTGTTTCTCCTCTCAGTTGCAGGGGGGGGGATCTGCCAGTGAGAGCTGAGGGGAGAAGGTTGCGGTTGGGTAATTGGTTGGTTAAGTGTCCACTTTAAATGAGTGCGTTTTCACACCTCAAAGTCCAGATCAGAGCTCAAACCAAGGTTAGTTTTGATTTATCACTGCAATTATTATAACCCAGATGAGCTTCGTCTATCGTCTTCATCTGATGTCAGCGTGTTTTCTGTTGGGGTAATGAGGAAATGGATGAACCCGTTGATATCGTCATTGGCGTTGCTGCTGTAATATCCCATTTTACGTACTCGACAATAGTTCAAATGTGCCAGATGAACGTCCTCGTCATTCAAACACAATTTTGTCACGAGAAGACAGCAAGCAATCTTGGGAGTCGCTTCTTTTTCTTCTTCTTTTGTTAAATGTTGTCTGAACTTCCTGCAATTTTTCCGAATGTCCCAACTGTCCAAAAAGTGTTTTTACACTACCATGGTTTGTTGGCCCGGACAGAGACCACGTATTCATTGTGTTCCTGATTTAGTTCTGTTGGTCTGGACAGTGGTGGCACCTTTCATTTCTCTCATTTTGGTCCACACCTCCACTGAAAGAAGTGTGAGCTGAATATTACTGGCAAGACTTCAGGTGTACCTCCTCCCTAAGTGTTGATCTCACTCGTGGGTATTTCTGTCCCTGGTGTGACCACTGTGTGCTTCAAGTGATGTCCTCCATTTCCCAGAATGCCTTTTGACAATCTCTAGATAAGTTGCATAAGCTTGATGCATGCAGATAGGAGAGAGACACAGAGAGGTGATGAGCCGGAGCAGAAGATGTCCCAGCTGGGAGTTGCGTCCTTTAATCAATGCCCAACATAGTCTGCAGCTGCAGTGCATTCTGGTCAGGTGAAGTAACTGTTGTCTTGTATGGATTTCCCTGTGTGTGTGTGTGTGTTGTGTAGTTGTAACAACCTTAACAAACAAACCCATGCTGATTGATTTTGTTAACTAAATATGTAAATGAGCCTCCCTGACAAATACATACATGTGGTTTCCCCTGAAAAGAACTTTGCTACATTTGTTGAATTTTTTTTACAGATTTGTGGAACAGATGTTGTAGCTCTCACTTATTCAGTCGGATGACTTTTTTTGAATAGGCATTTTGGCTCGAAGTCACACCCTGCATCTTGTTGAACGAGCCGTGGCAGCAGGATCATGTTCTAATGGTCTGATTCTCAGGTTTTTCTGTCTGCTTCTGCTGTCAGTGTTGATTGAGAGACTTGGATCAGGTAACGAGCAAACATCTTCAGCCAGACGCAACCTGAGCTGATGAAACCTTCCTGCTGTCTTCTTCTTTCTTTTTTTTCTGTCAAAAAAACATTGCATGAAACTGAGGTTTTCTTCTGCCTGTGTGATTGTGTGTCCTCTTTCACAAAGGTTAGTCTGTCTTTTAAAATCTTTAACCCGGTCACCACAGTTTTGTTATTATATTTTTCAATTGACCCAGACAAATGCCGATCTAACTGTTTTCAGACATGTTGTCCAGAGAGGAACTGTCTGTTAAAACGCTAATGTTGGAGTGAGAGGCTCTGGAGTTTCCACCGCCAGCAAGTGGGTGTTGATGAAGTTTCTGACACATGACAGACACAAAAATGAAAAGAATGCAAATATCTCAGGTTGAAAAAAGCGGTGCCATATAGAAGACGCAGACAAAGATGTCAAGAGAACTTTTGTTCATAAGAGCTGACGCCAGTGTTTATTATCTCGAGACAAAAACATGTGATCTCTGCTATGGAATTTATACGTTACATCCTGTCTGTCCAGACCCAATTCTCCAGAGTTAATGTCTGATGGTGGAAGTTACATTGCATGTTTGCTGACATTGTCTGGAATAGATGCTTTGAACTGTGAAGTGTTAGAGAACATTTGTGTCTAATTTAGAGATTAACATTAAGCTCCTACGTTAGAATAATGATTTGGGTGCAAACTGCGAAATCCAAGGCAAAGGTGTGTGTGTGTGTGTGTGTGTGTGTGTGTGTGTGTG